AATCTTCCAATTATAGAGTTTTATTTTTTTAATGTGTCAAAGGAAATCACTGCATTCATGTTTGAAGAGTTTACTGTGTGTCAGTGTTAAGGAGCTACACGGAAAGAATATAATAAAGAAAACACATGAAGGGGTTAATAATTTGAGTTTAATGATTTGGCACCAGATAACGGATCCTCCTTAAAACACATCCTGGAAATATTCTGAGAAAATTCTGCAAAGTTCTAATAACATATTTAACTGTTTTTTTGTTGTTGTTGTTTGTTTCTTCGAACTTAAAAAGTTTGGCAAAGTCAGTGGATTACAAGTTTTATCTTGCATATATGGAGTTTTACTGATTTGGAAGACATTTCTTTGATTACTTGTAGGAAGCAACAGAGAAATCTATTTTCTGCAAGAAACATAAAGAAGAAAAGACAGAAAACACACAAAGGTTTAACAATTTGGCTCCAGAACACGTCCTGGCTACAACGTTTTTGTTCTAAATGTGTTCTGAGAAAAATGCAAAGTTCTGTTATGTTTTAGTGGATTTTTTCTTCTTGATGTTCCTCCAAAAAGTAGAATAAAGCTCTTTAAAGGCGTTCCCACGCTGCCAGACTGTTATGACGTCATGTTCCTTAAACACTGTCTGAATGTCGTTCTTGTGCAGAGAGACTTTCACAAAGTGATTAAATGGAGAGAGAGAGAGAGAGAGACTGGCCGAGAGGATGTGACTCCCTCTTTGTAACACACACACACACACCTACACACACACACACACACACACACACACATCCTGCAGCTGTTTGTGTCTCACAGGAAAAGGGGAAAACAAATACATCCAAGATCTGCTCTCTGAAAAAATCTCATTTGGACGCAACAATCAGACAAATTCAAATAAAATCAAGTTTTATCCACAATCAGAGGAACATCGATGGTTTACTGATCGGCAGCAGAAACCACAAAACACAAAACCTCGCAGGAGTTTAAGGAAAGTGTGGATCCTTCTGCCTGCAATGTCCTGAGAACGTTTGAGGGAACACATTGTAGAGCGTTCTTCTGTAAACATCCTCAGCGTTCCACGACAACAAAGGAAGAACGTTCTCAAACCAACATTAAAAAAGTGTTTTCCAGATGTTATCGAGGCCTCAGATGGTTCTAATTAAACGTTCCTTTTACTGCGACGCATTAACAAAGGTGGAACATACACACACTCTGCACTCACATGTTTACACAAAACAACAACAACAACAACAACACAAGAAAACCTTTACACTCAGGTTGTAAACACTGCTTCACATTGTCTGTATGTGTTACACTAAAGTATTTGTGTATTCTATACTGTGAACAGGCTCTTTGTTTCGTGGCCTTTTGTCTCTTTTGTGTTGTTGCCTTGTTTTGTGTGCACAAGCCGGATCAGGTACACAAAACATTTTACACTGAACCAGCTGTGCATGTAGCCGATACGTTTGAGTTGACATTCTGGCTGCAATGTTCCAGGGACGTTCTGGGGATGTTCTTCTATAGAACATCCTCATGACAACAAAAGGAAGAACGACGTTCTCAAACCAACACTAAAAAAGTGTTTTCCAGATGTTGTCGAGGCCTCAGACGACAGAGCGTTCTCTAGAAAGCCTTCCTTTTAGGGCGATACATTAACAGAGGTGGAACATTCTGGGGATGTTGTTGAGGGAACATGTCCACAATGTTCCACAGTGACAAAGGCACAACGTTCAGTTGTGAGAACGTTAGAGCAAAACGGGTGAGATTCAGGATTCTAATGTCATCTTAGTTTACTTTCAGCTCTTCTTGCTTCATTTATTTCCTTTGTTTTTACACTTTAAATAACGTCTTTTTTTATTATTGTTATTGTTATTATTATTGTTATTATTTTGCTAACTTCCTTATGCAGCTTTACTGTAAACGAGGCCTCAGTGTGTTCCGGGTTTAGATAAAAGTTGAATCAGTGAATGAATGAATGACAGCAGTGTGAGTGTCAGTGCAGCTGTTTGTGTTAAGACAGCTGCTGGACTGATAGTTTGGCAGATTAGTGTGCAGTAAACTTTCCTTTTCCTCCGAAGAAATCTGAAGCACTGCAGAGACGTTTTACAACCAGCTGCCCTGCGCTCTGTCTCTCAGGCGTCACAATCCCGCCCCTCTCCAGAAGGAACAGCAAAAACAAACAAACAACAACTAAAACGAATTGTTATAAACATATAATGTACAAGTTATTTCAAATAACAGCAAAGTATTGTGTGTGTGTGTGTGTGTGTGTGTGTGTGTGTGTGTGTGTGTGTTATAGTTTTGCTGTTGCTGATTTTGTTTGTTTATATTTAACATATAAATTTATAAATTTTAAGTGATTTCACCATTTTTAAAAATCTGTAATTTAACAAAACAGGTAGAAATCTGTAAAATAACAGTAATTTGAGTTAAATTTAGTTAAAAAGTGTTCATTTTTGTGGTTGTGAGTTCTCTGCCTGACAGGCCTCGCTCCGGGCTGAGTAACCCTCCCACAGCTGACGTCACCGACTTGGCTGGTTCCACGGAGGTGCCATTTTGTATCTCCACAGTCCGGTCAGACCGAGGCTGACCGTCCGCGAAGACCCGACTAATATGCAAGTGTAGACTGTGTTTTTTAACTTCCAGCTTGTATCTAAGTGTATTAAAGTTAAATTTCCGTTTTTAGGTAGCGGTGTTCGCTGTGGTCTTACTGTTTCCCGTCGGGTTAGACTTCATCCTGTTTGCGGTAGTAGGAGAGCTAACGGCGTTAGCCAGCTAGCTCAGCTAGCTTAGCGTTAGCTTTCTAACGCTAACTGAGATCTGTAGCGAAATGGCGGCCAACACGACACAAGCAACACCGACAACTAACTGGTAGGTCACAGTTTTTAACCAGTCTGTCAGTATAATGTAGTTAAACACCACATTATTAACATGGGTTGTGTCAGAGATTGAATTTATAACCTAATCTTCAGTTAGCGTTAATGATTTTCGCTCGGTTTGAGGTGTTGACAAGAGTTAGCTCCCCTACATTAGCCTCGCACAGGCCGTTGGCTCGGTTAGCAGGAAGGGAAGCCGTTAGCTTCTTCGCGTCTTTTATACTATATTAAGGTTCGTTTTGTAATCGATTACAGAGTTTGCTGCACCTGATTCCGATGTTTTTAAGTTGACGCCAACTGGGGCTGCAGGATGAAGGAACAAGTAACTGACAGTGCCACAGTTTGGCTTTGTTGTTTTTTTTTAATGGGAAAAATTAGAGGATCTTCCGCCTGAGGTTCCGTGTTGGTGCAGAAATAATCATTTTGGAGAGGGCTGGGTGTGTTTTGTAAGGAAGTGTATTTGCATAGTATTCAAAGATATTTTAAAACGCTGAACGGGGACATGGTGATCCGTTCTCCTTTGGTGTGACTCTTGCACAGGCGTCTGAACTAGTTCTTGTTTTTGCTTTGGGCGACATTCAGATGTGTGTTTGTACTCGGTACACTGAGCTCTGTGCTGCTGATGTAAAGGATTGACAGTAATTATTTGTGTTATGAGACACAGGGCCCGTTTTTTTTGTCAGCGCCATCCACTGTGTGACCGAAATATGACCACAGAACTGAGTTGTTTTTGTCACCAGATCTTATCCGTGTCGCTCATGGTGCTGGGCCCATCTGGAGCCTGAATGTCAACAAACTCTGTGTTGTTTTAACAAAATGTATTCAAGAGACCTTCTATCGGAGTGTCTCATAGACTTCGTTTGTGTCATGGAAAATGAGACTGTTGTGCACATCATGATGTTGATGCAGAAATGAAATGCATTTTGCAGCCGTAACTGGACCATCGTAAAGTTAAAGTACATGTTGTTGTCGTTCACAGTCTTTAATGCAGCTAACGGAAACGTTGACTTCTGTGTTAGCTACTGTGCTTTATTCTAGATGATTAAATTAGTGGTTAGATGTAAGATAGCAGCATAGATGAATTGCTGTTTTTAGTAGATAGCGCTAACCTGCAGTCAGTACTTTCTACTGAAAACAGCAATTAATCTATGCTATCTTACATCTAACCACTAATTCAATCATCGAGAACAAAGCAAAGCAGATAACTGAAACATTAACTTCTGTGTTAGCTGCTTTGCTTTGTTCTAGATGATTGAATTAGTGGTTAGATGTAAGATAGCATAGATTAATTGCTGTTTTCGGGCGATAGCACTGACTGTAGGTTAGCTCAGCATTCAAACAAACGTCCCTGATTCGGACTGAACACTTCAAAAACCCTTTTACGTATTATTATTCACGATAAAGTGATTACTGTCAGATTATTAACTTACTCAGTGAAGTGTGTGCTTTGGATCAAATCGGCCATTAATTCCTAAAACTGTTCTTGTGTTGTTGGCAGGTCCTACGGTTCTGCTGGAGACAGCCAAGTTCATGAAAACCCAGAATGGGAGAAAGCAAGACAAGCTTTAGCATCTATTAACAAGAGTCAGACCTCTGCTAAGACCGCACAAGCCAACCGGACCGCAGCAGAGGTGAGTGTTGATCTCTGTTACATCCAGCGTTGGATTTCATCTCGCAGCTTGAGATCTAAAAATACAAATGTGCCAAAAATGGATGTTTATTTTCTGAACTCACCAAGAATGGGATTTGCTTACTGTGTTATCGTGGCTCGGTGTGTTGTACGTCTTACGGATGTATGTATCCTTGCTGTATGGATATTTCTGTCCCTGCTAGATGACTTTACTGTTAATGTGGAACAACAGTAACAACTGGAACTGGATGTGTGTTTTTTCAGGCCGGCCAGTTTCAGCCAGCGGTATCTGAGTCTGCAGCCATGCAGCAGCAGCAGCAACAGCAGCAGCAGCAGCAGTACTATCCGTGGTACCAGCAAACCCAGCAGCACTATCCTGGATACACATACCCCTATAACTACTACTACCCCATGGGTCCAGTAAGTACATGGAAGAACTGAGGTCTTATCCATACGTGACAGCAGTAATATACATGCAGGACATTCCCTTCACATGCTTAGCTTCAAGTACATTAGTGTCTCCTAAAATAACATCAAACGCTGAGTAATTTAGAGAAGGCTCGACAGTGGGTTGTCAGACAGGAGATCAATAACCGATTTCTGGAACTTTTGCTGTAAATTTTAAAATCTTAGTGACAAGATTTAGAGTAAGACAAACTCCTGCGCAAGACTTTGTTGAAATACCTTTGTTTATTTTTACATCTGTTTAATCAAAAGAGAACTTTACGCCACCTATTCCTACGTCTTCATAGCAGGTTGTTACTGAACATGTAATTGGTCATGTAAAGCTGTTGGTGGGCCGCTGCTGAGGCCACACACCACAGATTGAGAGAGAAACCTGTAGCAGAGCCAAAGCAGCACATTCTTTATCTGTTAAAACAAACAAAAAAAGGGGGAAACAATACCAGTATTCAGAAAAACGTGAAACTCAGATCCAGTAATCGGTCCACTCGTGTTCTACAGTTACATTTGGGTACAAATGGTGGATTGAAAGTGACAGAAATGCCAACATAGTTTTCTTTTGTTTTCCAGTATGGCGGTGCATATCCACCCAACCAATACGGTGTTCCACCTGGTCCATATCCAGGAACTCCAACCTCCAATGGACAGGTGTGTAGTAAGAACATCCTTTGTAAAGCAGAATATTTGACACTTACAGGCATTAGTAGACACCAAGTACATGTTGATGTAATTAATGAGATCTTTATAGTGACTCTTGTGTTTCCTGAATCACTGGATGTGATCAGTCTTTGTTTAACACACAGCAGCTTCTTTATTTTCAGAAAGTTTCCTTTTTGTTTCCCTCCTGAGAACAAGTTTCACTTTCTTCTCACAGCCTCCCCCAGTGCCTGGAACTGAAGACCAGTCCTCCAGCTACCCATCCCAACCCCAGCCCCCTCCCCCAGCTGCTCCCCAGCCCCCCCAGAGCCCCACCACCTCAGAGAAGCCCCCTCCTCCTCCTCCTCCACCCATCCCTCCACCACCCAACTCCCAGTACCCCCCGCCGCCGTCACAGAATGCTTACAGTGCCAACAGCACCATGGCATACCCCCCCGGTGACCCCAGCCAAATGCAGGTCTACAATCATTCCCAGGGAAGGCCCAGCTATGGCCAGAGCTTCCAGGCCCAGAACACCTACCAGTCCCCTCTGAATAACTCCCAGCAGCAGCAGCCAGGGCAGTACGTCCCCAACCTGGGCCGAGGAGACGCCAACAAGAACAAGAACCAGAAACAAGGACAGCAGCTCTGGCACCGCATGAAACGTAAGATATTTGATCTCTTGTGACGTGTGATGTTTAGTGAGAGTTCGCTGCAGGAGGTCCAGTTCAGTTATGACGTCGCTCTCACAGTGTTTCTGCTTTGCATCCACTTTGCTGTAAGCAAATCATAAAGGCTGCTAGAATTAATTAAAACTATGCAGCACGTCTGATCCAGGGTTTAAATGTGGTGACGATGGTTTTACAGACTCATGCCGTCCTTCTTGTGTGGCAGACGTACTTTAGACGGTATATCGTGTTGTCATGTTAAAGCTATTACACATTGAATATTGAAGCTATGAAGTATTTGTCAGGAAAAAAAAAACCAAAATTGAATGTTTTTCTGGAATCATTCATCCCTAGTCAGTCGTCGTACGTCTAACTGGTGATGCTACAACAGATCTGGGCTGTGGGAATGCAGGAAAGATGTCTGCTAACAGTTCAGTCTGTTCCACACATTTTCTCTCAGAGTCTCCTGGGACAGCTGCTGTGAAGTTCAATATTCCCAAGAGGCCCTATCAGGTTCAGTGTTCCCCAATCGCCAATCAGGCTTTCCCTCCAGGCGAGCAGCCTCCAGGCCTGAACCAGACTCCTTCCTCTCCAGCCAATGCCAACGCTGCACCTGGAGGAGCTCAGACACGGTGAGACCCGGTCCGTCCCGAATAATTCGGCGTCTTTAGTGATCTGTGGATCACATGTTGACCCTGAAGCTTTCTGTCCAGACCCCAGGACTGGCCTCAAGCCATGAAGGAGTACGTGCAGCGCTGCTTCACCGCCTGTGAGACGGAGGAGGACAAGGATCGCACAGAGAAGGTGCTGAAGGAAGTTCTGCAGGATCGGTTAAAGGACGGTTCTGCTTACACGATTGACTGGACTCGTGAGCCGCTGCCAGAGTGAGTTTAGTAGTTGAGCTGCCTGCTGTAATGAACACGACTGACTTCGGTGGGTGGTTGAAGGTGTTACCTGCAGGTTTGAGACGTGAGTGTGGTTTGTTTTTGCAGACTGAAGGTCAAACAGTCACGTTGGGAAAGTGTCTCATCCCAGAGGACGTCCGACAGCTCGGTCAGCCGCGGTGGAAGCGCAGCGGCTGCAGCTTCCAGAGGCAGAGGTCTCGGACACAGACTGGGTCACTACAGGAACATCTTTTCTCAGAGGAGTCCGTCTTCCAGTTCGTCCAGATCTTCCTCCCGCTCGCCGTCGCCATCGCACGGCCGACACAGAGATCGCAGCAACCAAAGGCACAGGCGCAGGTGGGTCACCGCTTCCCTTCATTTCCGTTGTTTGCTGCGTTCATCCTGTGTTCTTTGTGTCTGAATATCTCGTGTATGTGCGTCGGCAGTGATTCGGGCTCACAGTCAGACAGCAGCATCTCCAGCGACCTCCGACCTCAGCTGTCGAGACGAAGTCAGAAAGGAGCTCGTGGTCGAGGTAATGACAGAGACAGAGGACGTGGAGGTGGAGAGAGAGGACGAGGGCGGGGAGGAAAAGCCAACCGAGGACGGCGGTGAGTTAAAAAATACGCCGAAATGTATACATCATGGTTTCTGTTCCCTACTACGATATGCCACAGGGACAGCTCATGAATAAGCTTCTGTTTATCCTCCTAGAAACATGGATGATTCCAACTCTTCTGTTGGAAAGAAAAGGAAAGGAGGCAATGCCGGTCTGGATTTCCACGACCCGAACAGAGAAGCCAAGAAGCAGAGCAGAGCAGCTCGTTTCCACAAGCAGCTCCGCTCAGAGCCTCTGATTCTGTCCATCAATGCTCTGGACCTGCCCGACGGGACGCAGGAGGGCCTCAGCTGGGAGGACTGCCCCATCGTGGGGACGTGTCAGGACATCACCAAGCACTACCTGAGGCTCACCTGTGCCCCCGACCCGTCCACAGTGCGCCCCGTCCATGTGAGTCATTTGCTGCTGTCAGCTTTGGTTGTTTAACCCGACTGGACTCATACAGAACTGTGTTATCAGACATCAGAGATACGAAGCACACTTCCAAATCATCTGTGGAGGAAATATTTGAATCATTTTCGTACTTTGGAGGCGTCTATATACGAGATATACATGTTGCTCACCTCCTGCATCGCAGAGCACCAGGGCCTGACTCTGTTTCTTAACTTGTGTCCACTCAGGTGCTGAGAAAGTCTCTGCAGGCTGTGAAAGCCCACTGGAAAACCCACCAGGACTACGCCTACGCCTGTGAGCAGATGAAATCTATTCGACAGGACCTCACGGTGGGTGACGTTTGATTTTCTGTCATTTTACAAGCTGACTTCTGTCTTCTTTTGTTTTCTTCCTGTATTTGATTTCTATTGATTTTTATCTGTTGCAGGTCCAAGGAGTTCGTACCGACTTCACAGTGGAAGTGTACGAGTGTCACGCTCGCATTGCTCTGGAAAAGGTGAGTCTGCTTCTCTTCTGGTTAAACTACCTTAACCCTGATCCAAAAAAAGTTTGAAGGTTTGAGTAGGAGAATTATCTTTGAAGAAAGAACCATTATCAGAAAAAATTAAAGTCGTGATACTTCAAATAAAGTCACTTTGTTTCTGCATGTTAAAAAAAAACTGCCAAAAAGCGAAAATTCTGAGCTCTTTGGTTCAACTGTTGAGCCACGAGTGACTCAGCTGTGACAAAGCTTCAGTGTTCAGGTGAACTGCAGCCAGTGTTTCCTCAGAGAGGCTGAGAGGAAAAGCCAACCTACTGGATCAATAAATAGAAACATGGAGATAGTTTGACATCTGCAGGATGGGGAGGCAGCGTTTCCCCAGTGTAACATCTGTGAACACTTGTGAAAAGTGAAGTTCAGCTTTGTGTCATTGCAGCTGTGTCTGAGGACATCTCTGAGTTGTCTCTCCTTCGTAGTTGTTGTGTTTCAGTAGAGCTGCAGGACTTTATGTTGCAGTGAAAATGAGCCACAGTGAGGAAGAACAATGAGAAGCTGCTGCTTGTGGCTCAAACGGTTTTTAACACCAACTTAATGTTGTTGTCTTCAGGGAGACCACGAAGAGTTCAACCAGTGCCAGACCCAGCTGAAGGCCCTTTACAAGGACAATCCCTCGGAGAACATTGGAGAGTTTACGGCTTATAGATTGATGTATTACATCTTCACTAAAAACTCTGGAGGTACGCTCACGTCTTGTGTGTCACTGTTGCACCAGTGTGTACGTTGTGTGTGTCCTAACGCCGGTCCTCCTCCCTCCACCAGACCTGACCACTGAGCTGGTGTACCTGACGCCGGCCCTGAGGGCAGACGAGTGCGTGGCTCACGCTCTGGCGCTGCGAGCTGCCTGGGCGTTAGGAAACTACCACCGCTTCTTTAAGCTCTACCTGGAAGCCCCACGCATGGCTTCGTATCTCATCGACAAGTTTGTAGAGCGAGAACGAAAGGTGGCACTGCGGGCCATGGTCAAAACGTAAGTCCTGCTCCGAAAACGCGTGTGTACTGTAAACACCAGCCCTTGGTTCTGACCCGCGGTTCTGTGTGTGTGTGCTCTGTCCACAGGTTCAGACCCGACCTGCCGGTGCAGTATGTCCAGTCCTGTCTGGGCTTCACATGTTTAGACGCCTGTATGGCCTTTTTAACGGGGCTCGGTGTCACCTTCACCCCTTCTGATCCCCAAAAGATAGACTGCAAGACCAGCACAGCCTGCTTAGCCGCCTCCTGAGGGGCAGTAGGGCGGGGTAGAGGGGGCTCTAGGGACCACCGCGGATCCTTACATACGCAATGCACTGCACTTAAGACACCTCAGCAGCTCAGATAGACCAGTGGAAGGCTAGCTCCTGTAGACCTGTATAGAAGACACATGCTAGTGTTGTCAGACGGAGCAGGTGTAGATTCCTGACACAGTTTAAGGATAAACTCAGTGAGCCAGGCCTCCACGTTGGGATGCAGAGCAGCAGGGAACAGCTTAGATGTGGGATCATTTAAAGGCCATCGAGTCTCAGAATCAGATCAGGGCTCAGCCTCATGGTTCCTGTTCCTTTACCACCGTTAGATTTCAAAGCTAACAGTGTTCTGTTATGTTTTTTCCTCCCTCAAGTCAGCAGCTCAAAGACCTGAAGATTCAAGTCTGACAGTCAGAAAGGAAACGGCTTCTCCTCCAAGTCTTTCGTCCGCCGTTTGAAGTCAAGCTGCACAATCAAGTTTTCCTCTTAGAGACTGTGAGAAGAACCCAGCAGTTTGTCTGAAAGAAGAAGAGGTGGTTTGTATTTCCTGCGTCCGCTTTCCTCCAAGGTATCTGCACTTCGACCTTCCCAGCGTCCTGCTGAGAGAAACGGACTGACGACTAAAGTCTAATTCAGCAGCGTTCATTAACCCGGAAGACGTCTCAGACGAGCATTGACTCTGTTCGATAAAGGATAAGTGTTCCTCATCATGGCTGAATCTTGGAAGTTGAGCTTCACCTGCAGGCAGCAGTTCAGCTTCCACCCGTGGAGTCCAGCAGAGATGAAGCTCCTCCATCATGTAGACAGTCTGACCTTCAGCAGCCGTCACTGCTGAAGCAGCGCGGCGTCTTCGGGTGAATTCATCGTCTCCAAGAAGGAATATCAGGTGGTTTGTATGAGGCTCTGGTGTCTGAAGGCTGGTAAGAGAAACACAGAGACTTGTGGAAGGAGGTGGATGACGACGGCACGCTGCTGCGTTGGTGTTTTATGTCTGGTGTGTTTTGGACAGCAGTGTTGGCAAAAGGAAACAGAAAGTCTTATGGAGCCGTAATCAGGGTTTTATGAACTCAGCAAATTTGACAAAATCCTAAAAACACCAAAACTGGGAGTCCAGGAGAAGTTTAAGGGCTCCGATCAGCGCTGCTGTCTGACAGTATTTAAACAGAAACATGAGTTGAAGCCAACAGTAATTTAATGACCAGGGATGTGTGAGTCATCCTTTTAAGTCCTAACAGCTATGAAATTTGTTCCATAAAACCTCCGATTGGACCCGCTTTTTATTGAACTAGACGCTCCAAATGAAAAGCAGCAGTTTCTGGTTCTGTCTGGTGTGATTTTGGTTCATTCACCTCCAGGAGACCATTTTTAGGAGAATCACACCGGTGATAAATTGAGAGTTATTAGTGATTAAACGGCTTGTAAATGTCGGGACATGTGACCCGAAGCAGCAGAACCCTCCCACAGCGAGCACCGGTCGGCGCTGGTCCTCAGTATTGTGTTTGAGCTGCTGTGTGGTGATCATCCACATGTTTACCACCAACAGAGTCTATTTTTGTACATACTGTATGATACTGCTGTGGTTTCTTTTCGTTTAGTCGTTTGTTCACACGTGGGTAAGTGTGATTTATAGCTTTGTTCTTGGGTTCACCGGGTGTGAATTTGTAAAGCGGAGCAGGAGGAACCGGTCCACGTTAGCGCCGGCCGCTCAAACCAAATTCTGGCGGGACGTGGTGCTTTGTTGTTGTCGGCGGCGCGTCGCATCAAACGGCCGGTTCGTGTCGGCCGATGTCGACGCCGCCCACAACAAAGCGGCGAGCCGCCGCCACCGCCGTGAACCTGCATCATGTGTGTGTTGTGTGCTGACAATGATCTCAACATGTCTCCTCTCTTCCCTTCATCCACCCTGCCCCCTGTCCTCCTCGCCGCCCCCTCCCCCTCCACTCCCCCCGAACCCTTCTACCCCAAACACCACCAGACCTCTGCAGCTCGTGGCTCCGCTGCACTGCAGCAGCTCACGGAGGGACGATAAAGCGGTGAACCTCCTCCAGACGCCTGCGGGACAAGGAGAGAGAATTGTGAGCAACCCAAAGTGTTGGTTTGAGCCACTCGAGTTGAAGCCGCACAGCCGATAAAACACACGGGAGCCTCACACCATGGGAGATGTTGATTCGCTGCTAATCCAAAGAGTTTAAAAAAAAAAAAAAAAGGCTTTTTCTGTGCAACAAACCTGTTTTAGTTTGAAGACGAGTGATGCTTAACTGATGTACTGCCGGGTTCTGTTCGTCCGGATGCATTCACGCGTGCTGAGGGACTCGCTGGCAGTCGTTTGCTGATCAAACATTTCACCAGGTGATTCGGCTCGTGTTCGTCGGACCGACAGGCTTCTCCAGCCGGTCCATTAAAAGCTTCGTTTTCAGAGTTTCGTCCTTTGGCATCAAACGAATGCGTCCGGACCGACAGAACCGACTCTCAGCTGCTGTCTGAAGCCTTCAGGTGTGCGTCTGCTCCCACGACGACCCGTGTTCGGTTGAAACTGTGAACATCTCAGGTTTTCAGGACGTTTGTTGTTTATTTTTATTTTGTTTCTTTATTGTTTTTGTTTACTGAGAAGCTTCCACCCGGGCCACTAACAGAACACATCCTCATTTAGTTTTTTCTTCTCCCCTCCGGTGCCTGAATCATGTTTTTCTGTATTTTTTGCTCCCATGTTGCTGTAAACCTCCATCAGTCTGTAACTTCCTCCTCGGCGCTCTGAAGAGCTCCATCTCCTCCCCCGTGTCTCCATCTCCCTCCATTTCTTTTTAACTGAATCGTCTTCTCTCTGTTCTCTGAGTCTCCTCCCTGCATGAAGTCCTCCTCCTCTTCTCCTCCTCCTCCTCCCACGAGCCTCTAACCAGTATTTCTCTTCTCATTCTTCTCTTTTTTTCCTTTTGAGTATTTCTGTGACCGTTTGCTGTGTTGCAACTAGTCACTTCTCTCACTAGTAAGTATTGTACTCGGTCTGCAGTGCTTTCATAGTTTACGTTGCAGCTCACTAACAACCGAAGCTGAAGGTTTATCCTCCTCCTCTTCCTCCTCCTCCTCCTCCTCTTCCTCCTCTTCCTCCCTTCGTCCCCACATCTGATCTGACAAACTGCCAGTCTGTAAATACTGTGTACATATTACCTTTTGAAAAAAATCTAATAAAATTCCAGTATGAAGAGCATCCGGTGGTGGTTTGTAGGGAGCAGTGAGAGAACCGGATTACAAAAATAAATCAATGGAAGTGGAAGTAAAGATAAGAATGAATAAAATACTGTGGTAATATTAATCAAACATGAATCCATAAAAGAAAAGGCGAATAAAAGTAGAAATATAAAGACAAATAAATTAGAAAAACAATCATTTATTTTTAAGTTTTTTCATTTGTTTCATTTTTTAAAATTATTTTTTAATTATGCATATTTTCTTTGCTTTCAAAGCGACATTCTAAAAAAAATTTAAATGAAAAAAAAATTTGTAATTCAAAAACTAAAAAAATCAAAATTGAAAATGATTAAAAATGAATTATTTTATTTATTAGTCTTTATATTTCTACTTTTATTCGCCTTTTCTTTATGATTCATTTTTGATTAATATTGCTTTATATTGACACATTATTTACTTTTAAATTTATTTATTGTTCTTTTAATTTCCTCTTTTATTGACTTATTTTTGTTATTTTGAATCGTGTGTGGATTTTAAAAAAAATGAAAATAATCATAGACCAGAGAAGTCAAACAGTTTATTTGTGAGAAGTTACAAATGCTGAGTTCAGAAATGTCAGTATTTGACTTTACAACGTCCCGTCATACAGTTACAGTCTTTCAGTCGTCTTATAAAGTTGCTGAATAAATAAAGTTAGTGTCTCATTACAGAAAGGAAAAGATCATCAATAAAATAAACGTCATAAATAAGAGTGAAAAGAAGCAGCAGCAGGAAGAAGCTTTGTTTTAGTCACAGTGAGAATATATCAAGTTTCTCCATGAAAACATTTGATTTCTGCTGTTGTGTACGTTCAATATATTTAGTTTTTAAAGATGTTAATGATGAATTTCAGCTTTTTATTTTGCTACAACCACCACGTCCAGAATATTAGAAAGCATCTCACTGATGGAAATGAAGGCGAATGAAGGCGTCACCGTTTATTACTGACAAAGGACATATTTGGACGTGGATGTTTTAGCAAATAATTTAAAAAAAATCATCTGACTTGTTCAAATCTCAAAAACAAAGTCTGACTGACTTCTGTCATTTTAAAAAATGTTGTTTACAGCCACAAAAAAAGCTAAATATATAAGAATGTAATGTTAATTGCAAAAGCTTCCAAGACAGAAACATGTTGTGTTAAACTTCTATCATCTTTCCTTCATCTACGATTAATTAATTTAAAGTCGACAAATCGTCCAAACTTTTGTAAAAACTCCACGGTTCTGGTCACAATTATTACACACTGTTAAAATGGCTTTTCTAGATTGTTGATTAATCATTTTTATGAAAGTCCAATCAGAGAAAGAGCTCGAAATATAGAGAAAAATAAACTGTGGAAAGCAACAGGAACGAGAAAAGAAGAATGATCTAAAAGTCAGAAAATTAAGATTAGAGCAGAAAAACAAGAGAAATGTTCACGCAAAAGGAGAAACAAGCAGCTACAGATGAAAGAATAGTTAATAAGCAGAAACAAAATCAGCTAAAGCCACTAGAAAGGAGAATCTACAAGCTTAGAAAGTGCAGAAAACCAATAAATAAGAGGTGCAGAAGGAAAAATAAGGCAGTAAGGTGGCAAAAAGGAAAGAGAGCAAACACAAGAGGAGGTTTCTGTTCCTGTACGAGGTCTGACGGAGAGCGGTCTCACAGCCAACCGAATACAAACGAAGGTTTTACTGGAAACAGAAGCAAAGAAAACAAAAGTCCACACAGAGAGCGACGAGAAACGAAGAAAAGGAAGATTCTGGAAAACGAGTCAATAAAGATCGGAAGAAGAAAAGAGCAGGAAAAAGAGTTTATTTAGAGGTAAACGTCAAACAAAGCAGAAAAGAATCAACAGGTCTGAGGTGGAAACAGAACGAGATCAGGACAAAGAAGCAGCCGGTGGTCAGAAAACTAGACTCAGGAGCAAAAACAACCAACGGTTCCCTGGATGGGTTCAGGAGGAACGAGGCACCGAGGAGGGAACCGATCGGACTCGTGGACGGATTAGTGGAGACGCTGGTGAACATCTAAAGCTACGAGAGGTAGATTGTTAGAAAGGCAACGACTAGAGAACATCCTGACAAACAGCGTCTCAGAATACAGATGATTTATCACCTCACACGTCCACACACACACACACACACACACACACACACACACACGCTCAAACAGTGAATAACTGCCATCAGAACGCCGTACAAAACCTCTTCTCGACCCCTGAACAGTCCCAGACACTAAACACACAGTCTCACAGTATCTTCCACCAGCATCAGTAAAGCTCTAACGGCTGACTATAAGTTACACGAGTTCTCCAGCAGGAGCTTCAGTCTGTCGGGTCTCTGCAGGAGACGGTGGAGGCTCCGACCGCTCCAGCTTCTCTGAGGTTCGAGGTCCGATGACCTGCAGCGTCGCTCCACCGCTCAGAGACGCTCAGTAGGGCGTGAAGCGGTTGTAGCCTCCTCGGTACAAACTGGCCTGTGGAGGGAAACAGAAGGTAACCGGACCGAACCGACAAGATGAACACATTTAGATCTAGAATGGATTCTTATGTCACCAGCAGGTTTCTTCTGGATGGAAACGACGTAAACAAGAAACAAAACACAGACAAAGACGTCATGTTGGAGACGTTAACGATGAATTTAGACTGTTTATGTGGTCGTTGTTTACTAAAATGTCAAATTAAAATGATTAACATCTGTTAAAAGTGGTGAGAATGTTGAATCAAATGCAGCTTCTATCTGATTCCAGATGTTCCTGCTGGTTCCCGCCATGTTCTATCACGTTCTGATCCACAATGAAGGCAGAACAGCTGATGTAGTAGATCTCTAGTCAGTTACTGGTCAGTTCATGTCCCAACAAAGCTCTAAAATGACTCCTCTTCATGCTAAATATAATATATAATATAGATTTATAGTGATTCTTGTTTAACCAGCAGGTTCCTTCTGGCTGTAAACGACATGAACCAGAGACTAAACTCAGACGTTGTGTTTGAGATGTTCATGATGTTTCCATCCAAACGTCTTCGTCCTCTTCTTCACTCATCAGAGGCTTTA